GCACTGGAGTGATAGCACAGCGGGTAGGGTGTTTGCCTTGCACACGGCCGACCCAGGTTCGATTCCTCCGTTCCTCTTGGAGAGGCTGGCAAGGTACCGAGAATATCCTGCCTGCACAGCAGAGCCTGGAAAGCTCCCCATGGCATATTCTGTATGCCAAAAACAGTAACAACAAGTCTCACAGTCAAGACGTTACTGGTGCCCGCTCGAGCAAATTGATGAACAACGGAATGACAATGCTACAGTGCTACAGTCTTATATTGTAACTCCTCCATTAAAGTGATTTTCATCTTTTTCCCCCTTGGAATATCCTGAAGGCCCACAGGGGCATATGAGATCATTGAGACTACACATGAAATGCTGGTGTAAGGCATTCAGACCATGGTATCTGTCATGGTAACCCGAATAAACTAGTAACTCTTTCTAACAAATTTCTCCTTAAATTATCATTAGTACTAGCTCTGCCTCATTGGAGAGAATATTTCTCCTTCATCCCTGAGATCATGCCCACTGACTGCTGGTAAGCAACTTTCTATCTGCACAAATACCACACCAGAAACAATTTGTTTTCCCAAGGTGTCAGAGATGGTCCCAATGATTGTTTTTTGAGTTATCTAATAGATAAGCTGTCCAATAAGCTATATCCTTTCTCAAAAGACATATTTAGACTGAATTTATGCCTCATTAATGTTATTTTATTAGTCTTATTTAGAGTAAAACTCTGTCATGAGATTGTTAATAGTTGCTCATCCTTTCCATCCATGTCCTCTTCTGAGATAAACGAATGCTCCCAAAGCTACAGAACAAGTGGTGAAGTCGAGGACTCTGTAGCCGATGCTGTGTCCAGGAACTGCCTTTTCACAGAAATCTCCTTCGTATTCCGGCAAACAACTGCATTTCTTCAGGTCTCCTTCCACTGTACAGATACCCTGCCTGCTACAGAAATCACTGCTATGGAGCAAATAATTTGTCCTTTGTAAGTCCTTGAGTTGAGTAGAATCATCTCTTTTCTTGGTGCCTGGATTCTTGCTTTCTCTAGCAGGAATTAGAGGGGTTAGTGTTTTTCTCACAGGATAATTCACCATTTCTGGACCTGAATGTGTAGCGTTGGTGGACTTGGCAGACTTGGTGGACTTGGAGAGGTTGGGTGGCTTTGGAAGTCAATCTTTTGTCAGTGGATGCCTTTTTAGGTGTCACTATTAAATGGACTTGATCTGAATAGGTACCCATAAAACAAGAAATGTAAGTATGAACACATGAACATATTCTTCCACTAAGTGAAAATAAGTATTTCAGTAAATAAGAATTCAAGTGGATTTAACCAGATAAATGTGAACTTAAAGAATCACAATCACTACCATTGCTTTTGTTTTAACCAAAAAATTATGACTTATACAAACAACTATATATCTTAAAGCATTAAAGATATTTGACATTAAGATCACTGTAGTGAGCTATGTGCAAGGAAAGTCCCTTCAGACCTGTACTATCTTTCTGGCGCCTATCTAATAAGTATAATTTCTAACATAGATATTAAAGACCAAACCATTGGATGAAGACGTCATATTAACAGTGAAATTTATTGCCTCTATCTTAAGCTGGTATCACAGAAGTGTTTCCACTTCTGAGTAGTTTGGGTCTATAGAGGGAAGCCAGTAAAACTTTAGATATCCATACCATCTTCCCAATATACCCAACAGTATACATTAAAGTTAGGGTTAAATAAGGAACAAAGCCATTTCTTTGGCCTAGTAACCTCAATAATGGGAGAACACGTGAAGGTATCTCAGATTTCTGGGTTCCTTTCAAAATCACGAATTGAAGGACACACATTTTCACTCATTAATCCCTTTCCTTGGGTCACTGCCAAAACAGGCTTTGATCAAAGTCACCTTCATTTCCAGACCATAGAATCAACCTGGGAATCAAACTCAGCTGAGGGAGCACTTCTGGTGGGTTCAGGGACCATATGGGTTACTGGAAATTGAGCATACAAGGCAAGTGCCTTACCCGTTATCTCTCTGGCACCTCAAACTCATTGCCTTTCCTGTTTAAATGAAAGTGATTAGAATAATTAGTTTTCCAGGAGTCAGGTTTTAGGAAGATGAGATTTTATTTTATTTATTTTTTTAAGTTTTTCTTTCTTATTTTTTTAATTTATTGAATCACCATGAGATACAGTTACCAAGTTCTCATGATTGAGTTTCAGTCATACAGTGTTCGAACACCCATCATTTCACCAGTGTACTTTTTCCACCATCAATGTCCCCAGTATTCCTCCTGCCACCCCCATTCTACCCCCTGCCTCAAGGGCAGAAACTTTCCTTCTTGGTAAGGTTTTTTTTTTTTTATAGCTAATTGGAAGATGAGACTTTAAATGAAAAGTCAGTGAGGACTTTTTACTGTAGGATTCCATTTTCAAATCTCCTTACTGTTTATGACCAATTTCGACACCAAGGTCATTCTTTAAATCTATAGCTCTTAAAAAATCTATAGCTCCTCAATTCTCCAGTTCATAATATCAAAGCTAAAGTTATGAAATGAGAGTGTGGTAGTTGCAGCAAAATTAGATAATATGGTCATTCAGCTGACCACATAATATCTTTGTAAGAAGGTACTATTTGTGTCAGTATTTCTGTAGCAACTATCTAAGTAGCATTTAAATAGATTCATATGGGTTCAATTCTTCCACCCCTCTCGGAGAGCCCAGCAAGCCACTGAGAGTATTTCACCTGCACGGCAAAGCCTTGCAAGCTACCCATGACATATTCAATATGCCAAACACAGTAACAACAAGTCTCACAATGGAGACGTTACTGAGCCTGCTCGAGCAAATCGATGAGTAACGGGAGTCCAGTGACCAGTGACCAGTAACCAGTGACATGTTCTCTTGTATTTTTTTTAAAGTTCTATAAGGAGAGCTAGAGCAATAGCACAGTGGGTAGGGCATTTGCTTTGCATGTGGCTGACCCAGGTTTGATTCCCAGCATCCTATATGGTCCCCCAAGCACTGAGACAGGAGTAACCCCTTTGCATCACCAGGTGTGACACAAAAAGCAAAAAAAAAAAGTTCTATAAGGTAGGAAATACAACGCCTGAGTATTAGTTTATATCATAAACTATATTATTAATATAGTTAATATAATATATGATATATTATTAATAATATAATCAATGTAACTATAATTAATAATTATAATTATTATTAACTATAATATTTAGTTTATAACATAACATTAATAAAAACAAGGCAAATAGTTTTCCTAAATTCCTTTCCCTGGGTTATGCCTATTATGTGATCAATTTAAATGAACTGAATCAAATTCGGTTTCAATGAGTACAACATCTCAGGCAAAATAGCCCTTTGGAGCTCAGTATCATATTACCTTTTGGAAAATCTAATTAAGAGGCCAATTAGTTTTCCAAAAGGAGTCCAGATCATCTCTATATAATTGTTCATAGTTAAAAGTTTCGTATTACTACATTTAAGAGTCCACAGTGATAACAAGGCAACAAATGTAGAGGATAAGAGCTTGAAGAATACTGCAGAGTTAGATATTTATTTATTAAAAATAAAACACTCATCGTAACAATAGTAGGTCCTGAGTTACAGTTCATTTCATCAGATTTATCCAGACAGTCAGCACCACCATCACAGATTTGCTCCACATAAATGCATTTCTGATCATCTTTACAGGATTGTGATGGCTTGGAGCATCGAACAATTTCCATACATTTTCTTGTATTAGCCAAGTAGTGTCCACTGGGACATTTACAAGTCTGTCCTTCAGGGTGTGGTAAGCAGATATGGCTACATCCTCCATTGTCTTTTGAGCAGCTGTTACTACCGGTGACCCCCAACCCAAATAAAATATCAAGTTATATTAGATCTCAGAAGGGTGTTCTGTAAACATTCTGCAAATTGAATTACAGAGCCCAGATGTTTCCCTCAAGTAGATAGTGCCTCAAATTAGTTCCTTTGATTCAACTAGCAAGTTTTTGTTGATGACTCTTGATGGGTAAGGATTTATAGTCCCAGCAATTCAGAAAAATGACCTGTTAAAAAAAAATTTAGGTGAGCTCTAGCTCATCCAAGACTGCAATGGAAGTTCTCATTTCTCCTTATACCAAGTACTCCCCCAGCCCCATGAGAACCAGAAGATACTATAAATAAAGCTCTCTTTTGATGGCAACATGGATATTGTGGTTGCTATTATTCCTCTACTATTCCACTGATTAACTCAGACATCTGTTTAGTTTAAAGTTTAGCTTTCAAAAATAAAACAATGGGGTCTGGGGGCATGCTTTAATGATAGAGTGCATATCTTGTATGTGTGAAGCCATGATTTCAATACCTACAGTAAAGCAGCATCTCCCTACTAGAAATATACTTATCTCACATGGTAGTGGTTAACTATTTGTGCTCAAATGGTTGCTATAAACCTCAACAAGAAACTGATGTCATTGGTTACTACTTTGATGATAACCATACTCTCCCAAACATTCAGTTAGGTATTCCATTTGTGTCTATAAAAAACATAGAGAAAAACATTGGAGCATCCTCAAGTTGACCTGTCAAGGACCCATTAACATCAGAAAAACATTGGAGTGTCCTCAAGTTGACCTGTCTAGGATTCACTAACATCACAGCAAATACAGGTGACAATGAGCAGAATGAAGACTAGAGCTAAAGGGATTTTGACTACACCACAGTTTGAGTTTAGTCTAAATTAATGAAACAAAATAAAATTTAAGTCTACCAATATTACAATACACTTACTACTATCATGATACCTTGATAAGTAATAGCACTATTTTAAACAAGAAACAATCTCTATATAACTGTATAAAGATCAGTAAGCTATATAGATATATAGGAATTTGACAGAAATATTTTGATATAAAATACAAATACATTTCAAAGACATATTTCAGGTTGGAACATCCAATTTTCTAGGGAAAATTCACTAGAGTTCAATTTTAATAATTGTAATGCAGCTTACCCTGTTGATTAAGTTTACTCTAAACTTTTAAATCCATGATTTTCTGGTCTACTTGGAACCATTGGTCTTCCATAAGTTTCTTCTTGCCATACCAAACTTTTGTGACTTGGGCTGAAACAAAAGTTGATTGAACAATCATTAATAAAAATGGAATCTTATCTTGAGATAAGTTCCTGGGCAAAGAGCATTGTTCAGGACAAAAACTGTCACTATGTCAGTGTAAAAGTCCAGGTGGAGTACCAAAAATTGTACAGAAATGTCATGTGGTATTCTAAATCTTGTTTTTGGAAAGAAACTCAAAGTAAATAGGAAACAGTAAATGTTTCTTTTTTTATCTCCATGATAAAATCAAATGTTAAAAAGTTATGTTAAGGGGCTGGAGTGATAGCACAGCCGGTAGGGCGTTTGCCTTGCACGCAGCCAACATGACTGACCCAGGTTCGATTCCCAGCATCCCATATGGTCCCTCGAGCACCGCCAGGAGCAATTCCTGAGTGCATGAGCCAGGAATAACCCCTGAGCATCGCCGGGTGTGACCCCAAAAAGCAAAAAAAAGTTATGTTAAGCACATAAATATGTGTACAGAAAGATAAAGCTAGACAATCATGATGTGTAATGATTAAGATGATTAAGTGTAGCCCATATAATTGACAAGTAATAATGTTCTCAAATGTTTTTTACATAAATTCAGAGGAACATGTCTGAGTCGCTATATATGTGTGTGTGTGTAAGTGTGTGTGTGTGTAGATAGATAGATATAGATATGTGTGTACTTAAGTAGTGGCCAACCCGCTTGGGGAGTGCAATCAGGACATAACTAATGGTTCTCACACCAAATGGGGCTCTCAGATGCCAGTTATGGAACTCAGGGTCTTGCACATGTGAGGCATGTGCTCTGACACTTAAATTATCTCACCAAACACCATGGAAGGATCTTAAAATAGATGGCAAAGTTCTCATAACAGAATACAATTACTTAATAACACAGGGAAAAGATCTCCCTATTTGTTTTTGCAATCCTGTTATGGCAGGCTAAATTGGCCAATGGACCAGTATTTAGAAATATAAAATACAAATTTATTTCAAATAATAGCTTCCCAAAGTTTTACAAATTCTATACTCTATCCATAAATACTATCTTGAAGTAATCTGTTTGGACGTCTGAAATACCCTTCAGGAACAAAATTATCTTATACTTTCACATGGATTTGGTTGATTTAGACAGGTACTGCTCTCGTTTTATAGCTGGGTCAGCTACTAAGAAAGCAGTGTACTACCTAGTTCTCATCCCTAGCCCAATTCCCTCTGTAAAATTCCATGGTTTCCTCTAATGCAAAGAGTTCCATAGGAAAGGCAAGAAATCTCAGGTAGAACAGGATTAGATGTATTAATTTTAATTAAATAAGTTTAATGCTCCCCCCAAGTCATAAAATCACTATTACATACTCATTAGGTGGAGGAAGTTGCTTAGCAGTAAAAGAATGGCCTGCCAAAGATCACAAGTTCACTTCAGATGGCCAGGAATAAATGCAGAACACAGAGACAGTCAGATGCAGAATGAAGACCTACCATCACCAGTTGTGGTCCACAACATCTTGCCTCAGTCATCTGTAAATAGGCTCAGGTTCTGAATTCCTCTGCTATCTATTCTGTACCTAGAACCATCTTGGCAAATGCTCACTATGAGTCCTCTTGCTAAAAAGAAAGATTTGGTTAATTTCAGTCAGGCCAAATAGCTGCTGTACTATGTCCTGTAGTAAATGTCTTTACTTCCTGAAGTCCTTATGGATAGAGTGTAGAATTTGTAAAACTTTAGGAAGCTATTATATATATATATATATATATATATATATATATCAGTAGATATATAACACTACACCTGGAGGTCTCAGAGATTACTCCTGTACTCAGATAATACCTAGCAGGGCTTGGGGAACATAAGTCTACCAAGGATGGAGCCTGATTGGCTGTGTATAAGACAAGCACCTTATCTGCTGTGTCATCTCTCTGGACCCAGTTTTATATGTCTTGACTTACCTCTCCCTCCAGGAAGACATGGTCAACCATGCTTTCTCTGGATCTCCATTCATGCACTCTACTTTGATCATTTGATCACTTGACTTCCCGTGAATCATCGATTTGCTCGAGCGGGTGTTAGTAACATCTCCATTCATGCCTGTCGCATGCTAGTGTAGCCCAATGGAGTCTGCTCATTCTAGGAACACAAGGAGCCTCAAACCAATCGTTCAGGGTCTTGACAAAGAAGTCTGACCATCTTGTAGGTGGGTGGCCACGTGGTCTTTTGACATCCCGTGGAATCCAGTCAGTAACGGCTCTAGTCCAGAGGTCATCTCCAAATCTCATTACGTGTCCAGCCTATCTGATTTTCGATGCTTTGGCAAACGAGACAGCGTCCCTGATTCTTGACCCTCAACGGAGGTCAGAACTCTGGATTCTTTCTCTCATTTGAGAGAAGTGTGATACTCCAAGCGTTGCTCTTTCAATTCCTTTTTGGGAGACCCGAATAGCATTCTCATCCTGTTTTCGTAGGGCCCAGGTCTCTGAGGCATATGTTAATGCAGGAAGAACAGTGGAATCAAAGAGATGTCCCTGGAGCTGGAGGTTCTTCTCCTCTTAGCTATTTCTTCGATGCTATGAAGGCGTTCCAAGCCACTCTCTTCCTCCTGCACAACTCAGATGCCAGGTCATTCGTCATGTTGACTTCTCGACCTAGGTACACATAACTGTTTCATTCAGACATGGTCGTTCCATTGAGAGTGAATGGAACATCAGGAACGAGACCATTTCTCATAAACATTGTCTTTGTGAGATTCAGCTGGAGTCCAACATTTCCACACTTACGGTAGAAGTCGGCCAGCATTTGTGCCTCTTGGCTAATGTTTGGTGTTATTAGAACAATGTCATCAGCAAAGCAGAGTTGGTGTAGTTGCCAATCGTCTATCTTCATTCCCATTCCTTCCCATTTCAGTCGTTGCATGACATTCTCGAGGGTTACACTGAAGAGTTTTGGTGAAATGGTATCACCCTGCAAACCCCTCTCTTGTCATTGATGATCACTTCTTTGTAGAATGGTGAGATCCTGGTAATGAATCCATAATAGAGCTCACGGAGGATCCTGATGTATTGAATTTGAATGCCCTGATTGGCTAGGGCTACAATGACCGCTTCCATCTCAACAGAATCAAAGGCCTTCTTTAAATCAATGAACGTTAGAAAGAGCGGCATCTTGAACTCCCGAGAAACCTCAATGAGCTTGGTTACCTTGTGGATATGGTCAATTGCGCTGAATCCCTTTTGAAAACTGGCTTGCTCTTATGGTTGTCCTTCATCTAGTGTTCTGCCAATCCCATTCAGGATGACTCGAGTGAACAGCTTGTAGATGACAGACAATAGGCAGATTGGGTGATAGTTGCCAATGTCGTAGATGTGTCCCTTCTTGTACAGTAGTACAGTCATGCTGGTTTTCCATTGGGACGGAACCTTGCATTCAGACAGGTAGTATGTGAAGAGCTGAACCAGTGTATTGATGATTACTGACGGCAGGTTCTTCAGGTGTTCAGGTCTGACCTTGTCTGGGTCAGGTGCTGTTCGTTTCTTTACCAACAAAATGGCCTGTTGGATTTAGGAAGGGACAACGTTGGGAACGGCATATCCATCCTGTGGAATTTGGGCAGGTGGATGTGGCTATCAAAGAGATATGAGTAGGAGTCATGGAAAATCTCCATTGCCCTTCTGGAAGATATGATAGATCCATCAGGCGGTCAGAGGGCAGTCATCTCGTCTTGCAGTTGGCAAAGGACAGGTGGGCGTTACGAATGCTTTTCCCGACTTCTGCCACCTCTACCAGCACTTCTGCTCTTCTCTCTTTGAGGTCTTCCTTTATTGCATCTCTGCACTGCTTTGCAAGCTAAGTCATTTACTTGTGGTTGCCTGAGGTATGCGCCAAACAACATTGGCGAATAAGCTCAAGAGTTTTTGAAGACAGGTATTTTTTTTCGTGGCTATGTCTTTCTTGGCATTCCTTGTACAATCATGGAGATGCTGAAACAGTCGATCATATTCTTCATCAATGTTGTCAGTGATGGCATCTTCCCATGTTGCTGCAATAGTGCCAACCTCCCAGTTGGTGGTTGTTCTGGGAGTTCTCTTCTTAAACTTTGCAGCCCTTTCTCCCCGCTCTGTGAAGCAGAATTTTGCATGAAGGAGACAGTGGTCCAATCCCTTTTGGAATTTTGGGACAACAGCCACATTGGTCAGGCAAAACCCTTGATTGAATGTGATGTGGTCAGTTTTTGTGTGGAACCATCCACTGGGAGACTCGCATGTCCAATGTTTAGATTCTGCCTTCTGGAACTGTGAGTTATCATGGATAGTCTTGGTCGACATAATGAACTCAGTCTCTCACCCTGTTCGTTCCATTCTAGGCCATGGGTCCCGATGTGGAGTTCTTCGGTTGATCTTCTCAGTCCTCTCTTGGCATTAAAATCACCAACAATGATCTTGTAGAAGGTGTGGTCTTCTTTATAGATGAAAATTACATATGAGTGAATCTTTCTCTAAGCTTTCCATTTTAAATCTTCACAAAATGGCGCTTGACTATGGAATATTAGATATCACTCAAGAGGTAGAAAGATTTAATTTCCTTAAAGATGGTGTAAAAAATGGCAAATTTGGGTTTGAAAGCTATTTTAAATTATGTCTGAAGACTAGGAGTCAATGTCACAGTTTCCTGCTGGCCAAGATCCCTCAGACTCACATTCTGGGTTTACGGAGTAACTGCTTACCAGTATCAGCCCAGTATATGCAGATCCCTGAATCTGAAAAGGCCAGGGCTACTGGGACCTGGGATTTCTGCCATAGCACCTTTCTTCTGCTGCCATCCATAGAGGCACATTCAATACTGGGGCCATGCCTTGTATCATCATGGTAACCCAGGTCCACAAAACACATGATTGCACTTGATGGTTGGAGTACAACAGATGCTGGGTGGTAAAGATTTTGACTGATGAAGACAATGGTATACTGGCCTTTTGAGGAAGCTACATTGATATGAGTGTTCTTACTATCAATCCAATATAGGTTTCCACTTGGTCACGGTCACGGTCCTCCCGTTGTTCATCGATTTGCTCGAGTGGGCCCAGTAACATCTCCATTGTGAGACTTGTTGTTACTGTGTTTGGCATATTGAATACGTCACGGGTAGCTTGCCAGGCTCTGCCGCGCGGGCGAGATACTCTCGGTAGCTTGCCGGGCTCTTGAAGAGGGGCGGAGGAATCGAACTCGGGTCGGCCATATTGGCTGCGTGCAAGGCAAACACCCTACCAACCAGTCCAAAACAAAGCCAATCATGGTCCCCTGCATAGAAATAATTTTCCTCCAAGACAGTTTTTCAAATTCTTCGAGCCTTAGAAGTTTGATATCACCGTTATTCATTTCTGAAAGGTAGAGAACCTTTTCCTTTACAAGGTAGTCCACTGTTTCCAGCTGGTTCATGTTGGTAAAAGGAAGTGCTTGGTGCTCAGGTAATGTTTCCTCTCCTGCTCTAGCTTCTATGTTTTTCAGCTAGATCTGTGGGGGCAGTGGGTGGGGGAATTGGTACTGGTACTGGTAGATGGTACCAGTAGATTGTAGTCTAATTCCTCCTCTTATTTTCACAGTCGTATTAAGAAACTAAGTTTACTTTTTGTATATTCTATATTCTAAAAGTATATAATAGTTATTTCTTTCCCTCCCTGGAGATCAATTACGCAAAGTTTCGTGAATCCAAGTGTTTTGCAATTTTTTACCTCTGTTAAAACTACCCTCTCCCTTCGATGACTCTGTAATTAAGATCTAAAACCGAACAGATTCTTCTACCCAAAAACTTGTTTTGCCAAACAAGTTTAAATGTCAAACTTGACCAGTCATCTAGATAGTAGAAGCTTGGATCACTTGCTTGTTACTATCTTCTATCTTTCTATGATTTTAAGAAGAGTTCCCTCACAAAATGTCCTTAGCCACTCAGGTTAAAACTACACTGGGCTGCTGGTGTTTGCAATTACTCTACATATCAGCTACTTGATTGAACAATCAAACAAAGTTTTAACCCAAAATTGAACCCAAATTTCACTGTGGTCAGATGTACTAAGAATTTCTTTAGAGAATTTATATAGTAGTGGCTTTCATTTACCATCACTTTATTTGGTCATGATAACTTTCCGACACATAGTAAATACTAAAATTTAAGTTGTACGCAGGTCCTCAGATAACATAGTGTACATAACTCTGATTAGAATAAAGCAATCCCTCCCTACCAATATTAGACTTAATAGTTTCATTATTCACTGTCTCATTTTAAAATTGCATTTGTTAAAAGTCTATTGATGATGTTAAGTGAGGGCTTACTGTATTTAAAGAATATTCTGAGAGAGAACCCTTATTATATATATATATATATTTATATATATTAATTAAAGAGTTGAAATACTCAGGATATGAAAGAATGTAACCCAAGTTGCCTGTAAATGAACCTGAAGAACATTACCTGCATGATAACTGTGGGTAACACCAGGAACAGAAATGCAGTTTCCTTGAATGGATACAGTTGGAGCCGTCATCTGCAAGCAAGAGCCCAACCGGGCAACAACAGCTTTCCTTGGACCATGGGCTCAGAAAGCATAAGTGAGAACACTCAGTGTTCAGACAAGAGTTGGAAGACCTGGGCTGCAGCACTTCATGCATTATCTGAAAGGAAAATAGTAAGATATCCTTATGCATTTTAACTCTTTAAAAGTTTCAAATAAATGCATTTTTCTTCTTAGTCCATTCAAATGACTACTACTATGGTTTATTCTTGGGTAGTTCACATATGGAGCTTTTTCAGGGAGAACTAAGGGGATAATTTTGAAAAGTACACAATACATCCTGAGTTCATAAGGTTGGTGAAAACATTTGATGAGGACAGCTCTGTTCTTGCCTGTTGTCTTCTTCACACGCTGTACTGTTCTTGCTTTCATTTCTGACCAGAAAACTTCATCTTCAAACACAACAACCGAAAAGGAACTCTGGGTCTGTGTCAGCTGCAATATCTAAAATGGTGAAGGTGATTTTTTACAAATGTCATGGGACATTTAATATAAGGCTAATCCCAAAAGGAGACTTACGCTGATACCAGAACCATCTCGATTAGCAGAACCAATACAGTGAAGCTTGTCATCAGACCAGAATATCTTCCAACTCAACTGGTCCAGAGCTATGCCTGTTGGGGCCAAGGCCTTGATGGATTAGTGTTTTCCTGCCACTACCATCCATTCCAGCTTTCATTATCTGTGGTTCCTCTCTAATTTCTGCCCAGTACATGAATCTATGAGGGTAGAAGGCAGTTTCAAAGCAAAGTATTACATCACAAACAGTAATATCAGTTCAGCTTGTCCTGAAAATACTGGTTTGCTGCCAAATTATTTTTCACACACAGATGATATAAACTTGGTCTATTACTTAAGTGTGATTTTGACATAGTAAAATGTTTTTATCAGAAACTCTTTTGTTTGTATTTTGGGACATACCCAGTAGCCCTCAGGATTTACTTCTGACTCTGTGCTCAGGGATCACTCCTGGCATGACTCAGGGGACCAAATGAAGTGCTAGGGATTAAATCTGGATCAGTCACATACAAGACAAGCACCTTACCTTTTGTACTATCACTCTGGCCCCTCCTCTGAAATTTTAAAGTGATTTTATTAAGTCATTAATTGAGAGTGACATATCATGATGATTATATAACAAGCCTAGGAGCACACTGGTCTCTGTCTTGGAAAACATCCAAGAAACTGTCAATGTTTTCAGGGCCACAGAGTAGCCTGGTTCCATGGACCACTGGCTGCCTCAGGTTTCACTCTCAGCCACAAACAATTTGGCACATCAAAAACTACTGCCGATTTCCTGAGGACAACCCAATAGATTCCTAGTTGACTATATTTTAAAAGTGAGAATCAGAGGGAGGGCACCTAATCTGGGTCTCCTCAGATCCTCACTTTTGCTCTACCTTGTTCTTACAACAGATACACCATGGTCATCCCAACAGGGCTTGACTCTGGCCAGCAGGAAAAATCTCTAACTTCCAGCTTCCTTGAGAAGAAAAAATACTCCAGGTAGGGTGATCCAGGTTCACCCCCAACACACAACTCTCCCTCCATCATCACCAATCACATTATTGTCCACTAAACACTGTCTCTAGTTCTAACTTCTTCCTGTCATTATTTTATTTGTATGGATTTTCTTCTTTTTTTTTTTTTTGCTTTTTGGGTCACACCCGGCAATGCACAGGGGTTAATCCTGGCTCTGAATTCAGGAATTACTCATGGCAGTGCTCAGGGGACAATATGGGATGCTGGGAATCAAACCCGGGTCGGCTGTGTGCAAGGCAAACACCTTACCCGCTGTGCTATTGCTCCAGCCCCTAGTATGGATTTTCATTCCCCCTCTTCCTTCCCTTTGTGGACATTGCTGAGATCACAGGAGCAACACGTCTGGTTTTGGTGCTCATGCACTTGCTCATGTATTTGTGGATGGGGTATGGAGACTTCGGGGCTCCAGGCTCTTGCCCACGTGCTCACTAAAGTTCACATGAAGTTAGTTAAGGTTCTTATGCATATTCTGGATGTAGAGCTCGCTGAGGCTACTGTGGTACCTGAACAGGTGCTTGTTCAGCCACTATTAGCCATAGTGCTCACACATTTTGTAGTTATAGTGCTTTCCAGGGCCACACTCATTCAGCCAAAGATCTCACTCTCTTCCACAGCACCTAGAGCCCAAGATAGCAAATATTTCAGGACTAGGCTTGGTGCATGTAAGGTTCATGAACCTATGGGATTGAACTTATGGCATCACACTTTCATGGCAGTTACTTTTAGTCTCTGAGCCATCCTCTAGACTCTCCTCCTGCTATTTAAAAGACATTGAAATTCTCTATCAGAGGTATATTTTTCTGTTGAGCAGTGTTGAACACACATCATCTCACTTGACTAAAATTAAGAACTTTTCCTGTATATTTCTAAGATTTCCAGCATGGTTGATCCAAATTCCCAGAGATTTAAAGTCAGATAAAATTCTAGTTACTCACTCTATATTGAGGGAAGATAACTAAAGAAGAAAAGCAAACTAAAATGACTTGACCAGATATTCTGATCCTTGCACTTGCCCAGTCAAGGGATGTAAAACCAAAGACCATGGTTGATTCAGGTCATCATCCAGAACAATTGTGTACTCAGAGTTTCCTTTCCAAGAAGCAGTCCATGGAAGCACTGAAATCTGGCTAGCCGACCCATCAATCCAGTAGAGATTCCTCCCAATCTAGTCAACTGCTAGACAGTCTGCCTTTATTCCTGAAGATAAGAGATCAGTAGACACTTGTACTTACTCAAATGGTAACTTTTACTAGGTTTCACTCACAGACTTGCATGCCACATGAATTTATTCTCCAGCATATGCATCTTCTTCAGTGATAGCATCTTGAAAAATGCACCCAGTTCCTATTTGTAGAGGGATAAAACCATTACACATGCAGCCCATAGGAAACTGCATTGAGATGGCAATGCATCTTTTCTAACCAACTCATACACTGGGATCCCTTTGATTTGGTCATCAAACCAAAATTCAGGTCATTAGTGAATGATCAAGCATTTTATTTTTCATGCTGTGTGTACTTAATTAGTAAGAACAAGACGAATGTCAATATTTCATCTTGGGGCATACTTTTCATGAGAGCCCCCTTTTCCTTTGTGTCCATGCTGATCCACTGAATGCTTTCTGTACCAAGATCTGCCCAGAAGACTGTGTGATTCATTAAGTCATAGTCCACAGAGAGAATAATCAGGTTCTTGTCTGTAGCTGCCAGAACATCTTCTTTCAAGCTCCTCATCCCGTAGAGGAGTAGGATAAACTGAATTGCCACAAGCAGGGTTGGTTCAGTCCCAGTTGAATACAAGTTCCAGAGTCTTATGGAGTTTCAGCTGTGAACTCCAGCCCTGGCTAAAGCATTAGAGCACAAGGAAGCTGTTGCCTTCACTTGTTGCTTTGGCCATGGTGCCAG